TGAGTTTTTGACAGCAGCTACGGTGATACGCGTGTGGGACTGGCCATAGCCGTATGGGACTAGGCAATATGCGTAAAGGACTGGCCATACGCGTATGGGATGTGGAAATATGCGTATAGGACTGGCCATACGCGTATGGGACTGGGCAATATGCGTATGGGGCAGGCCATACGCCTAGGGGCAGGCCTGGGGTGACTTTTTCCCATTTTCGCGATTTCTGCCCAGATTTCGCTTGGAACGCAATTCCGTTTAATCGGTAGGATTAATATGACTAAAATGGACATAAGGAAAATTAATAATTAATTTAATTAGAGAGAATGTGGAAAATTATATTTTTGCCCTTACGGGTGTGTTTTGATGGATGTGAGCCATGATTGTCGAAATTGGACGATTTTGTGCGATTGTGGTAATTGACGAGAGGATTACGGTGAGCTGATGGCTCGTGTGGATCATTGATGATCATGGATTATGCTTGAATTATTATATTGCATAATTGTGTTGTAATGCATTTCATGTAATGTGTCTTGTGGAGATGGCTAAGTGGAAATCCATGATGGGTGCCTAGTTTCATCCGGACTTCATGTGGAAGTCGTTGTGGAGATAAGTTGTAGTTCAGAGGAACGTATACGACTTATCTGGTTTCCGACGGGAATCGGGTTCTAGGGTGAACTGTATGTTATTGTGTTGGTACTACATGCACTGTGTCGAGTCACTGAATCACATTGCATACTGTATTGGATATGGGCTATTAATGTCGAGGAATTGATGTGGCACGTGTATGTGCGTTGTATGTGTACGATTATATGTGTGGTGTGTGACTACTCCTTAGCATGTGTATTTCACCGTTTATTTATTGAATGTAGTTCTCACCCCTTTTCTGTTTGTCGTGTCTGTGCTCCTTGGAGAGTGCAGAAGACCAGGTACCTGAGGAATGCTTGGAGTGTGTTGCAATTTTATCGAGTCATAGGAGTTGCTCTGATACGTAACATGGGACGATGGGACTACGTTATTATTTGATTATTTATTTTATTTATTGTTACGTATCTTTAATTGTTGGATTGAGGATGTATGATCACCTCATGGTGGAAATGATGTTTTAAACGATTAATTTTATTCCGCTGTTTAATTGAGACCAGATAACCTTGATTTATTTAAATTGAATGAAGCGACTTAGTGTGATATCTCACTATTTTGGATAACTCTGATGTATTTTATGAATTATTTTCGTATATGTCTTAAATTACGCGTACGGGGTAGAGTGGGGTGTTACAATTGGTATCAGAGCAGGTCGGTCCGTCCGGCCAGTGTGTAGTAGAGTCTGAAGAAAAGGTTGACTACCGCACCAGCGTTAACCTTACCGAATCTAAATAATCCTTTTGTGGTATATTGTGATGCGTCTAAAATGGGATTATGCGGTGTTTTGATGCAAGATGGAAAGGTTGTGGCTTATACTTCACGACAATTGAGGATTCATGAAAGGAATTATCCTACTCATGATCTTGAGTTAGCTGCAGTGGTTTTCGCATTGAAAGTTTGGAGGCATTATTTATACGGGTCGAGATTCAAAGTGTTCGGTGACCATAAGAGTTTGAAATATATGTTTAACCAGAAGGAATTAAATATGAGGCAACGAAGATGGTTGGAATTTCTGAAAGACTATGACTTTAGCTTGAGTTACCATCCAGGTAAAGTTAACGTCGTGGCAGATGCTCTGAGTCCGAAGACGATACATATGTCGACATTGATGATTAGAGAATTGGATTTTATTGAGCAGTTTAGAAACTTGAGTATCGTTTGCGAGTTAACTTCTGAAAGTGTAATGTTGAGGATGTTGAAAGTGAATAATGAGTTCCTTCGTGAAATAAGAGAAGGTCAGAAGCTGGATTTGAAATTGGTAGACGTGATGACCGTAGGCGGAACAGATAAAGAAGACTTTAAAGTAGATGATTCTGGTGTGTTGAAGTTCAGAGACAGAATTTGTGAGACAGATAATCCTGACTTGAAAAAGGTAATTTTAAAAGAAAGCCACAGGAGTAGCTTGATTATTCATCGAGGAGCTACGAAAATGTATCAAGACCTGAAGAAATTGTTTTGGTGGTCGGGTATGAAGAAGGACATAGCCCAGTTCGTGTATGATTGTTTGACTTGCGAGAAGTCTAAGGTGGAACATCAGAAACCCACCCGGTTTGATCTAACCGATGAAAATAACAGAGTGGAAATGGGATAGAATTGCCATGGACTTTGTGACTGGATTGCCGAACACGGCGAGACCCTTTGATGCAGTTTGGGTGATTGTGGATAGACTGACAAAGTCGGCGCATTTTATACCGATTAACATCAGTTTTCCTTGGGCAAAGTTAGCAGAAATTTATATCAGAGTGATAGTGAAGTTACACGGGGTTCCGTCGAGCATTGTATCGGACAGAGACCCGAGGTTCACTTTCTGATTTTGGAAAAGCTTGCAAGAAGCTTTGAATTCTAAGTTTGAAATTGAGTTCTGCTTATCACCTGCAGACAGATGGACAGTCTGAAAGGACTATTCAGTCATTGGAGGATTTGTTGAGAGCTTGCATACTCGAGCGGAGAGGCGCTTGGGATACTCATTTACCGCTGATTGAATTTACTTATAACAACAGTTATCATTCCAGTGTTGGAATGACACCTTTTGAAGCATTGTATGGTAGGAGGTGTAGGACACCTCTATGTTGGTATGAGTCGGGCGAGAGTACGGTACTCGGACCCGAGATTGTGCAACAAACTACAGAGATAATCAAGATGATTAGAGGGAAAATGAAGACAACCCGTAGTAGGCAAAAAAGATACCATGATAATAGGAGGAAAGACTTCGAATTCAACGAAGGTGACCATGTGTTTCTTAGAGTCAACCCGGTGATCGGTGTTGGTCGTGCGCTGAAATCAAAGAAATTGGATCCTAAGTTTATCGGACCGTATCAGATTCTGCAAAGGGTAGGAGCGGTTGCCTATAGAGTGGCATTGTCACCCGAACTTTCGAATCTGCATGACGTGTTTCATGTATCGCAACTTCGGAAGTATGTTGCTGATCCGTCTTATGTGCTTCAGAGAGATGAAGCGCAAGTTTGAGATAACCTTACGGTGGAGGCGATGCCGTTGAGGATCGAAGACCGCAAGATGAAACAACTAAGAGGAAAAGATATCCCATTGGTGAGAGTAGCTTGGGGAGGAGCTGCTGGAGGAAGTGTGACTTGGGAATTGGAGAGCAAGATGCGAGAGTCGTATCCGAAATTGTTCTTATCAGGTACATTTTCGAGGACGAAAATATTTTAAGTGGGGGAGAGTTGTAACACCCCATTTAAATTATTTAGTCGTTTTTAAATTTTCTGTGATGTTTATTTGTCGTAATGACCTTAATTAAGGGTAGGACGTTAAGGGATTGAGTGAGAGTTGACACTTAGCTGAGACAAGATGGAACCATAATAAATAATGTGAATGATTTAATGATAATAGTAAGAATATTATGCTTATTAGTATTATTATTTTAATTACTACTAATAATAAGATTAATGGGGGAGTAGTTAGTATTATAGTTATTATTATTATTATTATTATCATTATTAATATTGATTAAATTAAATGAATTAAAATCTAATTAAGGGGGTTAAGAGAGGGTTAGTGAAAAATTAGTCAGTTAACACGTGAAAGAGGAAAAAGACAGAGAAAGGAGAGCTAGGGCAGAGGAACAAAGATTTCTCCATTGTTGTCAAGCAAGATATCAAATCCAAGGTAAGGGAGGAGAATGGATTTCAATATGGGTGAATTAACATGAGAGGGTAGTGAGAGGTCCTTTCTCTCATAGGAATTATGCCTGTTTTTGGGTTCCTTTATCTGATTTTTGTAGCATGATGAATCCCCTGTAATTGCTGTTATTGTTGAATGATCATTGTATGATGTTTGTGTGTATAAATTTGGGACTGATATGAAATTCGTGTGGAAATTTCTTGATGCTGTCATAGAACTCTGATGAATAACAGATCTGGAAAATAAGGGTTGAGGGTCAACGAAATCGAATCCTTGCATGATAGAAACCTTAGGGGAATAATGGATAGATAAAGTATAGTGAAGATAGAGGGAATCGATTAACAAAAAAACTGAGTTTTGGGTTGAATTGAGTGGAAAAAATCAGAGTATTGAGGGAGGATTCGTGAAAAGGAGGAAATCTGAGTTTTTGACAGCAGCTACGGTGATACGCGTGTGGGACTGGCCATAGCCGTATGGGACTAGGCAATATGCGTAAGGGACTGGCCATACGCGTATGGGATGTGGAAATATGCGTATAGGACTGGCCATACGCGTATGGGACTGGGCAATATGCGTATGGGGCAGGCCATACACGTAGGGGCAGGCCTGGGGTGACTTTTTCCCATTTTCGCGATTTCTGCCCAGATTTCGCTTGGAACGCAATTCCGTTTAATCGGTAGGATTAATATGACTAAAATGGACATAAGGAAAATTAATAATTAATTTAATTAGAGAGAATGTGGAAAATTATATTTTTGCCCTTACGGGTGTGTTTTGATGGATGTGAGCCATGATTGTCGAAATTGGACGATTTTGTGCAATTGTGGTAATTGACGAGAGGATTACGGTGAGCTGATGGCTCGTGTGGATCATTGATGATCATGGATTATGCTTGAATTATTATATTGCATAATTGTGTTGTCATGCACTTCATGTAATGTGAGTCATCCAGCCACCGGGATTGGTTACCCGATTTACCCCTATCCGTATCTACATCTACGTCCTGATTGAGTTACATAGAAACTAAGAGAACTTGAAAGCAAGAGATCCAACAGGAATTAAATTTATATATATTTTTAAATAATATAGTTCAAAATCCCCCGAACCTCAGATCCGATAGCAGCTATAATATGCATTTACGACTAGCTACAGGAACTAGATGAAAACTTCTACAACAGGGTATCGAAGAATGCATTCTGACATCGAGTCCTCAATCAATGTAGATGATTCAACAAGGTAGACCGAAGCAACTCGTCGATCAGCTATCACCACATCGTTGCCGAGAATGGCATAGCGATCAAACTAGTGCTAGTGACTGTCTACGGCTACGACTTATGCCTTCACTCGGGGGAGAGCACCCATCCAAAAAGCAGAAAAGTGAAAAAGTGCAGAAGGAAAAGGCAAACCCTCGGATGGACCTAAACTAGACTCAGTCCGAGCTCCTGCAAGAGGGTCCAAAGTAGAGTGGCACGGAATCGGCCGGAAAAGACAGATCTGATAATTGCGTATATTGAGTGAGATGCCGCTTCAAAGATGCTGCTTACCTAGGATGGTGTGCTTTTAGCTCCTTTGGCTTTCTTTCTCCCGGAGACCATGCCATTCCTCGACACCGACCTTCAAACAAAGTCAGATGAGGAGCTGGCTTCCCTCAAAGCTGCTCTGGCTGACTTGCCCGTTCCGCTTCTCTCCCGCTTTGGGGCGGTTCTTCCTCCAGCAGCCTATTCTTTCACAGCTTCTATGCCAAGGGCTTATTTCTTATTAATAAAATCAAAATGATATTATGCATGCAAGATGTATTGGGGTCACAAAAAATTATTTATGAAAATAAAGCGCTCTTAGTTCAGTTCGGTAGAACGCGGGTCTCCAAAACCCGATGTCGTAGGTTCAAATCCTACAGAGCGTGATTCCAATCTTGTTAGATCGAGAATGACACTGAAATAATTGAACAACAGTCTAAAGTATGAATTTAACCTCCTGTGGATTAGGATTAAAAACAAAGAAATAGGAGGTCAATAAACAAAAGAGATGTTAATTAATCAAAGGTCCAAACGCGGAGGCAGTTCCAGTCCTTGTCGCAGCGCAGTAGTGAATAGGTGATCCAACACCTGAGATAAAAGACGCAGCAGATTCATATACTGACCTTAGTTATATAGATCGTTTACCTAGGTACAAAATGAGACCCTGAGGTCCATATCGGTAATAGAAAGACCTGCCACCAAAAGCATTCCGATGGAGCAGAAGTAGACCCTTCCCCCGCCATAATAGCACCACCTAGCTTCGCTGCATCGGGATAGTAGTAGCACATATCTTTTTCTAGTGATCGTTATAGGGATAATGAAACCAATGATAGAGTTGACCTAGCCTAGCGACATCCATCCCTTGTCTCCGACCGGGAGATAGAGACTACTTCATGCGCTACTTCAACCAAGCCAAGGGGAAGGGGTAGGCCTTTTTTTTCAAGACCCCCTTTCGGAAAACGCATTGGCTTTCAATCAAGTTCGAGGATCCATTAAATAAAGCAAAAAATGCACGTTACAGACGAAAGGTAGATGTTCATTGGCGAATAAAGAGAATGCAAGCTATGCAAAAACGGATTTCAATCATTTTCTTAGCCGGAATGTGCCCTCAATCTCTTTCTGACACAGGGCTGAGCGCTCTAGAAGCAAAATAATGACCCTCGCAGGGTTGATGAACCTTTTTGGTTGGCGTGGGGTGAAAGACCTAGCAGCGGAAATGCCGCTATTCCTGCTGACTAGCTTCTCCTTCTCGCGAACTATGCTACGCTTCGTTCGCTTGCTTGCTACTCACTGTAATTCACATTCACTGGATTAAGAGCTAATGAATGCGGAGTGACAGTTGGTCCTGACTCTAACA